ACCCGTAGTGGGAAGAGTACTAGCCCCTATACTCCGGCTCAACAAGAGCAGATGGCCGTCTTAGTGAGAGAGAATAAGGAAAAGAAAGAGCTCCTGAAGCAGGTGAAGTTAAAAGTGATCGCAGAGGAGCAGGCAGCGAAAAGGAAAAAGTTGGAGGAGGAGATAATGAGGGCTCAGCAGGAGGAGGAAGAAAGAAAGGCCGCTGAAGAAGAAGCAGCAGCAGTAGTAGCAGAAACGCCTTGAAAGAAGACGTATGGAAGAATGAGGGGAGAGCAGTGGCACAACAGAGGAAGATGCAAAGATGAAGAAAAAGATCAGTGAGTATGTGCCACAGGAGGAGAAGGCGGCGTTTGCCAAGGCTTTGGAAATGATAGATGACCCCCTGGAATGTCCAGAGACAGAAGATGAGAAAAAGTTGGAAGTTGCGCATGAAGAGGGAAAAGAAGAGAAGGAGGGAGGAAGCTGCCCGATTGGCTGCAGAGGTGGAGAAAGTACGAGGATGCAGGCAAGAATTGCAGGCACAAGCAGAGGTCCCTGCCAAGTTAGATAAGATTGTAGGGTACCTGGAGGTGCTAAGTGAGGCGTGGTTGGAGGAACTCCAAAGCAATAGGGGCCATGATGTGGCCCTGCTGACGTGGTGACCCACGTCGGGGCCGAAGTGAAAGGATTAAAAGAGGGCGTAAGGAAGTTATGTGAGGGCGCCATTGAGGGCGCCAAGGTTGTAGCCACCGCTGAGAGCGAGTCCAGACCCCGCAGGGAACCAGTGAAGCTGAAGTTCCCAGATGCCTATGGCGGGAAGTCTGACGAAAATTTCGATAATTGGGAGGCAAGTGTCAATACGTATGTTCATTTACAGCAGATTGCGCAGGACGATCAGGTCCTCGTTGCCTTCCAGGCTCTCAAGGACGAAGCGGCTAGTTTCGCTAGGTCCCTAGCGCGTGCGACCAATTGTGAAAACAACATGGTCGCGTACTCCAAAGTCACCCCCCTCGCTCAATTCTTCAAGCTCCTGAGGGAGCGAGTTGCTGATCTGCGAAGAGGCGTTAGAGCCTCTGATAAACTCCAGACCATCCACTCATGGCAGTGGAAGAGTGCTAGGGCACTCAAAGCTGTCATGGACGACCTGGTGGCCGTCCCGGGCCATGGGGTTACTGAGTCCCAACTGGTCCAACTCTTCTATCGTGCCATGCCAGAGCCCTTACGAGGGCACTTCTTCGAAAAGTCCCAACAGCCCACTATGACGTATGATGCGTTGAGTAGAGAAGTGGTGCTGTTCGAGGCAAAGTCCATGCCAGTTTCCACTTTCTGGCACAAGGACCTAGACAAGGGCAAAAAGTGGAAAGGGCGTACCATCTCAGGCCAGTTGAGGGCCAAAGACATGATCCTTACATTGGAGGAAGCTAGTACTGATGAGGTCGTATAGCCAGATAGAGTGGGGACTCGAGGAGGAGGACAGCAACGTAGGTCAGGGGAGGTCCTATGCGGCTGTCGCGGTTGGAGGGAGTCCGCAAGGTAGAGGAGGAGGCCAGGGCCAAAGGGGCCAGGCCATGGGAGGCCGAGGATCAGGCGCAC